TTAACCCTTTTTTTTAAAAAGAAAACCTCTACGTCGTTATTAAAGTTTAAAACCTTTATAATTAAAAAAAGGCCGCTTTTAACCTTTATAACTAATCTCTATAACTAACTTTTTCAATTAATATTACTATTAAATAGCTTATTTATCCCGAACTATATAGCGGTTTTCATATTAAAATTACTATATTAAACTAAGTACGTATTTAAGGTATATTACGTATATTATATAGCTAAAAAGTATATTATATTATATAATTTCTTTTAAAAACCTAATCCCGTTAAGGTTAATTTTTTATACCTAGAAAGCTAGAAAAAAACTATTATATATAGGCTAATATTGAAAGGTTTTGTATACGTTAAAGTAAATAAAGCTCGCTCTCTAAACGGCTAGAAATAGTGAAAGGTTAGGGGTTAATAAAAGGGAGAAAATAGCCGAGCTGCTTAACTATTTTAGTTAGTAGTTAGGTTTAGAGCGTAATATATCTAGTTCTCTTTAATATATAATATACGGTATAGCCCCGGCGGATTGCCCCGTTAGGAGGACTTAGTATTATAATATAGTAACTATATTAAATTAATTTATATATAATAACTCGATTATTAAGGGATTATTTATCTTTTTCTTCTTAACTTTCTTATTTATAAAGTTTATAACTATAGATTAATTACGTTAATGGCAATATTAAATACGTAATGTTATTACTATATAAACTGCGTATATCTAGCTAAGTTTATAGCCCTCTAAATAATAATAGTTTATAACGTTAATATTAGAGATACCTTCGTTACTATTATTAAAATAACGCCGCCCTCTATAAGCCTTTGTTATTAATATCTAATATACTTCTAACTTTAACTTATATATATATATATATATATATTTATTTATTATTTTATTTTCTATAATAGAATTAGAAAACGCTATTTCTCTTCCCGTTTATCGTTATTATTATTGAATTATTTATTCTAAATATATACTATTTAAATACTAAGACGCTTAGATATTATCAACCTCTAGGGCTTTTTCAATAGTTATTAAAAGCTCGATCCTATAAATATTATATTAAAGGACCCCGAACTATAATAAAATAGTTTTAGAAAATATAAATTAAATATTATTAATTTATAAATCCGAAATAGGTATATTAATATTAATATTACTATTATTAATACTCAATATATAGAATATAGCCTCGAAATACTTAATTAATTTCAAAATATTATTAATATTTTAAAATCGTAGTATAAAAATAAACTAAAAAAGACTAAAAAGGATATTTTAAAGTTATTAAATAGGGTAGAAATAAAGAGGTAGTTTTTATCTATTTAAAAAGTAATTAATATATTATATTATTAATAATTATTTATATTACGAAAGGGAACTCGAGGCAGGTCAGAACGCTATTATATTAACTTAATAAATATAACTTAACGTAAAGAGGGAAAAAGTAAATTAATAAGCGGAATTTAGGGTACTAAGCTTTTAAGCCTAGTAATCTAAATAGTTATATAATTTATAAAAGGTCCGCTAAGTACTTAAAGCCTAGGTATATAGGGGCCTAATACCTAGTACTATAATATTACCTACCCCCTCTAGTATAAAAAGGCACTATTTATAGCGCTTTATTATTTAGCTATATCCTCTATAATTATCTACTTATAAGCCGCTAAAATTTTATTAATTACCCATCGTCCTCCTTTGTTTTATTATCGGCTAGCGAGGCCTAGAATTTTACTTTTTTATAAATATTAATAAAGTAGAGGTTAATATTAATATAAATCTAGTTTATAAAATACTAAATTATATAGTTATTACGGGCTAAGGCCTATTTTTAAAGGGTTTATTAAAGGCTTTAGAAGGCGTTAATAATTTAAATATTATTATCGACGTCCTTTATATTACTATTATAAATAAAGAAGTATTAACCTTAGGTAATATCTTTAACTATTATTATAACCTAAATATATTAATCTTTTATTATATTACTTTTTACGTTTATATTATTATTTTCTAAGTCCTCCTTTTTTATTTTATTCTTTAATAAAGTACTAAATAGTGCAATTTTATAGTTATTACTAATCAATATTTATAAAAAAGTAATAAAAATATTATAATTATTTATATTAACTAAATAATTATAGTACGAGTTACGGACTTTATTAATAGCGAATAATACCTCTTAATAATAAATATAGGGGCCTCCGTTACGCTAAAGGGCTTCGAAGTAGTCGGCTATATTTAATATAAATAATAATGAGTCGAGGTAGTACGCTATAGCGTTTATAATAACTATTGTCGCTATTAATATAAAAAAGATTCTTTATTAATTCCTAGGACTAGTTAAATCGTTAAAAGAATAGGTAATAATTATTACGACCTAACACGCCTAACAAGGCTAGGGCCTGCCCTATAGAACCTACGGCGGCTATTTTACTATATATATAAAAGTAACGGACTTAGGACGACTCCTCTCGGGACAAAAGAACTATAAATAAGTTACATAACTACAATTATATAATAAAATAAAGAACGGACGTTTATAAGTAAGTAGGACGGACGATTATAAATAAATAGGACGGATAACTATTTAGTAAATAGTTAGATAATAATAAATAAAGATATTATAAAGGATATATTTAGGAACGAGATTTATATATAGTATAGATTTAAGCCGGGCTTAAAAATAAACTTCCTATAGCTTTTTTAATAATTAATTTAATATTAGATTTTATAATCGCTTTTAGCTATTTTTATTAAAAACCCCCCTTTTAATAAAATTATCATTAATTATTAAAGCCTTACCTTTTTTATAACTTATAAACATAGCTTTAAAAAAGCTATCTACGACTATAATACTATTTACTTAGCTTTTATAGCCTTAATTTTTATTAATATACTTACTATAACTAGCTAGCCGTAATAATAACATAGGGTAAAAAATTAACTTCTAAATAATAATCTAAAATTCGTTAATAATAGCTTTTTAATTAATTTATAAAAAAAAGAAGTTTAATAAGTCCTCTTATTTTTTAAGTAATACTTAAGCCTTTTTTAATAAATTTATTATAATAAAAACTATTATAGTATTATCGTTAGCCTATAATAAAGCTAAACTATTATTAACTGCTATTTCTATTTATAACGAGAAGTTTTATTACGGTCCTATAGCTATAAAATATTATTTATAAAAAGCCTATAATATTATTAATATATAATAAAAACGCTTTATATTATACTATATTAAGTTATCGTTATACCCCTTTTAATTTATCTAGTATTATAATTTATTATATTATATTTATAATTTAATTACCTATAAAATCTTGTATTTAAGCTCGTTAATATTATAATAAATTAGTAGCGGGGGGTTTTAATATTATCTAAATAAAGGGTCCTCTATAGCTTTCTATAGTTTACTTAAATAAAAAACTAAATAGGCTTTATTTTTTATAAATAATTCTATAATCTATATACTACCTAGGCCTATATTAATAATTAGCTAGGGGCTAGCCTAGGGCTACTATAATTTATTAATATCCTTAGTTTTTTAATATAATAATCTATAAATACTTTATTATTAACTTTTAAATTATTTAATAAACTATAACGATTAATATATTTTTAATATTTTATTCAAATAACCTTTATATCACTTTTAGCGATCTTTTAAATCTTATAAATACTTTGAGCTATTCGCTAAGCTTTAATATAGTTAACCTTTTATAAATTAAATTAAAGCGCTAAATTTTAATAGTTTAGTTAAAAAATAGCTAAGGTTAATAACTAAATTTAACTTTATAAAATAATAACCCTATAGTTTTACTTAGCTAAGCTATATAAATAAAGTTTATTATAAATCATAAATTACTTTAATTATTTTAATAATAATTAATTAAAAGCCGTAAATATTAAAAAATATATTAGTTTAGGACCTCGGTCTAGCTATTTATTTATAAATAGTTTATTATTAATAACTATAATTTAATACTATAAAGTTTATATAGTTCTCTTTAAAAGTTTAATATAAACTAAAGGCTATAATTAAAAAAAATAATCTTAAATAGCCTAAAAATTAATAATACTCTTTTATAAAATATTTTATTTATATCTTATATTATAATAGTTTTATAATAAAATATTAAAATAGCTCTTTTATTTAATTTATTAATTACTATATATATTATATCGTAGCCCTTTTAATTAGGGGGTAGTATTATAAAATCTATAAAAATATATTATTATAAATAGTTAAGTATTAATAAAGGCCTTAGTTCCCTAAGGGGTCTATTATAGGGTTTTTAAAAATAATAATATATATAGTAGTTTTTAATATATTAATATATATTTGCTATAAAGCCGGGCTAATAATATTACTATTTAACTATTCTAATTACTTTATCCTAACTTAAATATATAAAGAGCTTCTATTTATATACTTTATAAATTATTATAATATATAAATTATCTTTTTCTAAAATAACGAGCTTATTATTTATTATAAATAGACCGTTATTTTAAATTCTTTTATATTTATAGCCCTCGTAGGCTAGCGTTTATATCGGGGCTAATAATAATATTATAAAGTCGTAGTTTAGTTTTAATACTTTTTTAATTAATAAATACTTTTAAAGCTCGTTTTTTAATATAAAGGAGTTAATAATAAGCTCGGGCTATTAAAGCTATTAAGCTACGGCTTTTAACAGTACTCATAGCTTAATAATAATATTTAATAATAATAGCTCTAGGGGTAATAGAACCTAAATATAATTAACCTCTTTAAATATTTATTAAGTCTTAATATTTTTTATTTTCTTTAATAATATATTAATAAATATATTTTTTTACCCTAGCCTATATTATATTTAAAAATTAAAGTTAGCTAGGGTACTAGCTTACCGGGCCTATTATAAATTTAAAAGCCGCTTTATTATAAAGAATAATAATAGCTAATAGTCTATAATAATATTAAATGTCTAATAATAATTGATTAGCTTAGCGCATTACTTTTCTAAATAAATTACTATTATTAATATCTTTTTATTATATATAATATAATTAAGCTCTATACTATTTATAGTCTTTAAATAGAACGTAATAGGGTACTATAAACTATTATTTATGTATTATTAAACTAGGGCCCCGGTATATATTAAATCCAATATATTAGTTTTTAAATATATAGGTAGTTCTAGTTTAGAATAGTAGAATATAAGTACCGTTATAAAAGCTAGCTTTAATATTTTAAATATATTATTATAATCTATCTTAAATTGAAAGGGAATACTTTTATTAATTAGCTTTATTAATAGCTTAGCTAGGTATTTATAGTCCTTTATAAACCGTTTATAAAAATTATAAAACCTAAAAAATAATTAAATACCTTTTAATAATATAAATAGTTTTTAGTTACGTACTACAAAGACTTTATTTTTATTAAACTATATACTATTAATACTAACTATAAATCCTAAATACTTTATAATAGTAATACTAAATTTATATTTTTTAATATCGGCCTATAGTCTAGCCTTTTATAAATAGTTTAATACTTTTATAATATACTTATAATATTATAAAGTATCGTTTAAAAAAGTTAAAATATTATTTATATATATAATATAAAAATTATCTAAATATTTTATTAATACGTCGTTTATATATTATTAACATATAGCTAGCCTATTATAAAGGCTAAAAGGGTAGTACTTTATATTTATATACCCCGTAATAAATATAGAATATTATAAAGTCCTTTAAAACAAAGTTAAAGTAAATATAATAAAAAGCTTATTTAATATTGAGTTTAATAAATACTTTAACTTAGCTTAGCTACGTTAACATTCTATTAATTAAAAATAAAAGATAATAATTCTTTTTTATAATTTTATTTAGCTTTTTAAAGTTAATATAAAATTGTAAATTATTATTATATTTTTTAATAAATAACGTTAATAACGTAAAGGGGGTACTATTAAGTTTAATAAATCCTTTATAAAAGTACTTTAAAAAACAGGCTCGGGTCGCTTCTAGTTTAAATATTAATTATTCATAAAGGGGGTAATAAATAAACTTTTCTTAACCTCCCTTTATAAACTCTATTTTACAATTATAGTTATAATATAGTACTAATATATTATTTACTATTTTATTAAAAACGTTTATTTAGGGCCTTAGTAATTTTAAAAGCTTTTTAATAATAAAGTCTTAGGTCTTTTAATTATTATTATTATTTAAAGGGTCCTTTTACCCTCTTTATTTATCTTTAATTATTTAGTTTAGTTTATATAATAATATAGAACTTAGCTCTATATTTTTATATTTTAAATTGATTTTAAACGTTAAGGTATTAATAAAAATAATATTTAGGGCGCTATTTATTTTTTTATATTAAATAGAGGCCTATATAAGTTTGGTTTTTATTAAGGGTATTAATAATATATTTTAAAGCGCGCGGTCTATTTTCTAAGCGTTCTTAGCGTTATTAGACCGCTATATATATCGATCTTTTTTATTTAAAGGTTAACTAAGTATTTTAATAAGCTTAGGTAATACCTATCTCTTTTATAACTATTCATTATACTATACTATATCTATTTTAAATATATTTTATTATTATTTAATATCGATTTAATATTATATATCGATAATTTTAAAAATATATAGGTCTTTTATAATTCAAATAATAATAAAAAGGGTATTTTATAATAGTAATTCTTTAGGCTATATAAGGCGTTTACGGCTTATATTAAGGTTTATTTTATAATACTCGAACTATTTCTATTTAAAAATTAGGTCGTAGTACTTTATATTAAGTTAAAATAGGGGTATTTTTAAAAGGACCCGATAGTTAATATATAGGTTAATAATTTATACTATATTAACGTCTTTTAATCGCTTATTATTAAATATAATAATAAAGATAAAGTATAGTAATTTACTAAATAGAGCTATATAGAATTCTTATAATAATAGGGTTATATAGTTATTTATAAATCTATATTTATTAGCTCTTATATTAAATAAGGCTTTTAAGTAAATTCTATTTGTTTTAATGTTCTGCCTTTACGTACTGCTCGGGCAATTCTCGATATCGTTAATATAATATAAAAATATAGTATTAGTAGATACTCCTACTATTTTAATAGACTATTTTTTTTAGATTTCCTTCTACCTTTTTAACTTTCCCCTCTTTTAACTACGGATTAATCGATAGCGATTAAATAAATTCTATATTTATTAAATATTATTATAAACTCGATTTTAAAAAGTTACTTTTTTATAAAGTTCTATAGGTTTACTAAATAAATTACTAATCTTTTATTTTTCTTATATTTATTTCCTAGTTAAGAAGTTATTTATATTAAAGGGCCTAGTTTTTTAAATTTAAAACCTATTACTCGTTAATAATATTTATAGTGGCTATAATAATAACTAGTTCTTTAAAATAATTTTAAAAAACGTAATTAGATTTATTATAAATAAAGTAAATATTATTATTTTTAAGCTTTTAATATAGGGCTTTGAAAATAATTTTATAATTAATAATTCAGTTATAAGTATTTTATTTAATAATACCGTTCCTATTTTTAATAAAAGTAATATAAATAAATATAGTACTCTTTGGGGCCCGGTTATTAATTAATAGGGGCTATATTATATTAACGAGCTAAGTAATGTATTTAATATATTTTTAAAAAGTAACGTCTTTATTTAAATATTTAAAAATAGCCTAGTTTTAAAAGTAAATAAAGAGTTTATTATAGAAATAGTACTTTTATTAGGATTTAAAAAGTTTATTAATATAAATAAGCTTAGCGAATATAGAGCGCTTTTAATAAATATTTTTAAAGGTAATAAAGAAGGTATTTAGCTTTTAATTAATATTATTTAGAATAATCGGGCTAATATAGGCCAACTTAAGCTTATATAATAACTAATTAGCTATTATAATCTCTTTAATAATTAATATAAAGTAAATAAACTCGGCTATAATACTACCGATTTTATTAATAATATATTCTAAATAATAGCCGTTAGTACTAAAGTTCGTATTTTTAAAATATTTTATAATATATTATAATTAATAAAAGAACTTTAGACCTTTATTTTTACTATTATTAATAAAAGTACGGACGTTAAGTATTTTATTTAATTTAATAAAGGGCTAATAAAACGAGGCCGGGGTACTTTTATAGCTACCCTATACTTCGGGTTAAATAAAACGTTATTTAAGTATATAATAAGCTTCGTTATTATTATTATATTTATTATTATTAATATTAAATATAGAACCGTTCTTTAATTACTTAACGCGTTTATTAAACGTATCGTTAACGTAAAGGGTATTATTTAGTTACTTTTTAGTATTTTAAAGCTTTATAATAGCTCTATTAATAATTTTAATATTTCCTTTAATTATTTTATAAAGCTACTCGGTATTATTACTTAGCTAGTTAATTATAAAGACTAGTATTTATTTAAACTAGTACTAAATAATACACATTTTTAACTAGCTCTTAACTTAGGTATAGAGGGTAACGCCCTTATTCTTTTTATATAGCTCTTAAATAAACTTAAAGTTAGCGGGGTATTATTTAGTATTATTAAAAAATCCTTTATTATAAATCTAAATAGGGGTTATAAGCTCGTTAATAATATAATAAAAGAGATTAAGTCGGTTAATTTATATAATAAAGAATAAAAACTATTTAATAAATAAATTAATAAAGTTAACGTTAGGGTTAAATATAAAGAGCTCGGTATTTTTATTAATACCTATAATACTTTAGCGCTATTTATATAGGTAGTAGCCTTATTAAAAGTTATTAATATAAAGGGATATTTTTTTTTTGATTTTTTTTTGGATTATAGTATATAATAAAGGGGGGATATATATTTAAGGAGTATTAATTATTTTACGTAGTTAGTTAGTTAGCTATTACTTAGTATTACGCTTCTTTTTAATAAAAATAACTATTTACTATAATAGGTTTAATAAATTAAAATATTATTATTTTATTTTTAAAAATAGGTTAAATTAATTAACGTTAAATAGTATTATAAAAGAGAACTTAAAGTAGGTTAGAACGCTACTATATTAACTTAATAAACGTAACTTAATATAAAAAAAAAAGTAGATTAGTAAATAGGATTTAAAGTACTAGGCTTTTAGGCCTAGCGGTTTAAATAGTTATGTAACCTATAAAGGGTCCGCTAGGTACTTAAGGCCCGGGTATATAGGGGCCTAGCGCCCAGTACTATAACATTTAAGTCGGTAACGGCTACGGCTAGCTATAGTTAGTTTTAAAATTTATTATATAGTAATACATAATATCTACTTTAATAAACTAACTTACCTATAAAAGCGAAGATAGCCCTTAATAAAGCGGGCTAGACTTTAAAAGGATAAAAAGCTTTATAATATATTATTTTCATAATAAAAAAGGATATATAGCTTAATAATATTATAGCTTATTAAATAATATATAAATAGTACAGAGGCTAGAAATATAAAAAATATTTATTAATACGGTTTAAAAAAGTTAATAAATAGTTTAAAAAATAATTAAATATAAATATATGATTAACGCTATTTATGTTTTTGAAATAGTTAGTATTTATGAAAGCTTTTATTAAAAAATATATTTTAATAATTAAAGGATCTATTAAAAAAGAGGTCCCTGTAAAAATAAATAGTTACTTTTGGATAAACTTAATTAATACGAGACTAATAAAAAAAACTAAGCCTTTGATTGAGATACGTTGAAGTCCCTTTTTTATATAGAATTAATAACATAAAAATAAAAATAAAACTAGCTTTTTAATTAATATTCTTTTTTTATGAAATTAAAAGGCCGCTTTTGAGAGATCTAATAACTAATTATAAAAGCCTTATATTTAAAAAGTATAAAGGATCTATTTTTATTTTAGTACTCTATAAAATAAAAGGGCATAGTTATTAATATAAAAACGAATATTTAGTATTATAACTAGATATCTATTGCCGAGTTTATTATATTTATATCAAAGATTATTAAAAACAGGGAAAAAGTATACGTATTCTACGTTTATAGGACCGTAATAAATATAGAGCTTTTAATAATATTATCTAAAAAAATAAATATCTAGTAATAACTATTTTTAAAAAGCTTTAAAATAGAGTAGCTATTATAATAAAGATATAATAATAAATCTTTTAGTTTGAAAAAGAGCTAAATATAGAATTAACTTTTAAGAAGAAACGAAATTACTTTATAGGCCTATATTCTTTCTAAGTAAATAATATATTAATAAATTAAAAGAAAATATTATTAAAAACCTTAAAAACGGGAGAATCGTTCTTTTAATAAATAAAAAAAAAGCTAGAATA